ATGCGTGCTGGCCGGTGCTCCAACCAAGATGCATCGATTTTCTCGGAAAAATTTACCACTACTGGTGGAGCAGCACTGGTGATCGTCTTAATTTTTAAAGAATTAGCCCCCTAAGGTTGTTAATAAATTATAATGATTTAAAAGATAATAACAAAACAAAATATAAATAAGGAATTTTTTAAAATTTTGGAAATCTTATCAATAAAATTGAAATCTCTATTAAAACTAGGATTACGGATACCCTATTATAAATCTTATTAAAGTAGTAAAAGAGATTCTTCAAACCGAAATATCTGCAAATTCTGTTTTATTCAAGCATGATAGTTCTTTTTGGAGCCAAGAGTTTTCTACCTCGATTCAACCTTAATTCTTCTAGAAACAAGAAAAAAAATGCTGGGGAAAGAGTAAAGCTAAGCAAAGAAGTAGCTTAAATTATGCAGCAACATTCTTGACTTAAAAAAATATTTCTTGGCGGCAAATTTAAGATAACTTTACTTCAGTGAAAGGGTGAGAAATTGCATCAAAATTTATTTATTCATTCTTGCAGAACGCATTGAAAATATCCATGATCAATAATTTCAATCATAAATGAGAATTAATGCCGTTCGTTGTTTTCATTGAAATCAATCTATCGCCGGAAAAAGACTTTAGGGTCCAGAATCGAGACTTTTAAAAAATCTGATGAGAAAAAATACCCTTGATTCGATCGATTTTTGCTTGTATCAAAAAGAAATCCGCTTCAACCAAGGGGCTTTGGCACTCGATTCAAGCAAAATCCGATTGAATCAAGAGTATTTTTTCGTCAATTTTTTGAAGAGTCTAGACTCTGGAGCGAAGATATTTGTTTCGGGGCTTTGAACTCCCCACTAGCCTGAAGATTAAAATCAGCATGGGTTAAATCGGCCGATGAAAATATATTTCGGCTTAAGGACTGATAAATTCTTAGGAGAGCAGAAAAATTCAATTTCCGATCGTGTCAAACGCCGAGTTCTCAATCATAGAATGAATTTGAAAATAACAGGGTGTATGTTCGAGGTATGCAAAATGTTCATAAAGAACAAAGTATTGACCGATTGGTTTTTGAATTTTGTCTGTCAATGCTACCAATGATATAGATCGATACATAACGCTTTTACGAAACACTAATATCGTTAACAGCGGCCAAAGTATCACAAGCGCCATGCGGCGTTTCAAAATTCCCGCCGCCATTTTATTTTTTTACCGAGAAATTGCTCAACGTAACTATCCGAAAATTTTACGGAATTTCCTTCATGGTGCCGATAAAATTCAGTGAACTTCTCGAACAGGTTCAACCATCGATTTCTCTGTAAAAAAATAGAATGGCGGCGGAAATTATGGAACGTCGCTTGGCGCTTGTGATACTTTGGCCGGAAGGTGACGATATCGTCTATTCTGCCGTGCTAAGGAAGAACGCCGTATGAACATTCGAGAGTTGCCAAGTTTCCCCCGATAAAATATGTATTTGTGACGATATTTATGCACATTTTTCTTTTGAATTTTCAGATATTGTAGATGAAATTGCGTACAAAATAGCCTGAAAATTTTAAAAAAAAATATTCACAATTTTCCCAGTAAATTCAGTTGTTATCGAAGGAAATTTGGCAACGCCTGAAGGTTCATACGGCGTTTTTCCTTAGCACGGCAGTATTGGTATCTATTTGAAGGGATGAAGGAATTCCCGCAACATCCGACGTCCATGTTGCCACCCCTGAGAGCGTGACGCACTTTCAATCATGACGCGTAGGCAGACTTAAGCTCATTGAACATGGAGCCGAACAATAAGCATTTAATCATGGACGTCGAGTCGATTCGCACATCCCCGCTACCCGTAATTATCACCCCTCATCAGCCCCCGTGGTCAGGGGTGATTCCGATTTGCGTCAGTTTTAATTAAGATCCCCTTTTAGTTACGACTCGGCCGGCGGCTTTTCTCTCTCGCGCGCGGCAAAGGGTTGCGTCGCAATTTTTGCATCAGGGACGATCAGGGTGCATACGGAATGTGATCGGAATCGGAAAGCGTAGATTTTATTATCAACGCACGTCTAGAATTTTCGAGCTTGAATATTGAACGGACATCAGATACACTGATAGAAATATTTCACTGAAAAAAAAATCTCGGTGTATTCACTAAGAAAAGGGTAAAATTGCCAAGAATTCAGGGTTCTATTTGATCCCAGTTTTTTCTTGGTAAAATTACCATTTATGGCATTGGTAATCTTACTGAGAAATCTCGGTAAAATTATTGAACTTTCTCGGTAATTCTACTGGACCTTGGTAAAAACGCCAATATTTTTTATCGACTGTGGTAGAATTACCGAGATAAAATGGCAAAGTTACCGGGAATTGTTTACCAATAAAAGTGGTATTCTTACCTGGAAAAACAGTAAAAATACCGGGTTTTAGGTAAGCTTACCAGCCTGTCTTGGTAAAATTACCAATAATTGGTAAAAAAAATGAGATGGTAAAGGTACCAACGGACCTTCGTAAAAACGCCGAGAATTTTTTTTCAGCGTTGCATTCCTGTTTTACTTTTGGTTGATATAGGAATTGGTACACAAACCAACACAGATTTTGTGTCGATTATGAAACAGTTTGCAGTGTCTTTAGCGCAGGAAGCAGTGGAGAGATTGGGAGAATGTATTCCACCGATTGCGACGTGGGTACTCACCACTCGTTTTTTAATGAATTTTTTCAAGAAAACTAACTGGTATTATTTTCTCTCGAAATTTTGGACCAAGGGCTAGGGTTACTTAGTGTTTTACTACCCGTATAAACCAAACTTTTGTGTTGAAAGTTCTCTCTGTGATCGTTTCGAGGATTCGATACAAACATCTATTCATATAAAAATTGTCGGCGGAATAATTTATAATTATACAAAATCCAAGACGGAATCGAGTAATGGATAAAATCTTGGGATGAAAGGCCACGCCCGATCAGACAACACATTGAAATTCTTGCTGCGATACTAAATATCACTATTTAATAACGGTGAAAATTCCCTGACTTCCTCGGTCTTTTTTTTTTTTTTTTTTTTTTTTTTTTTTTAAAAAAAAGAAATCCCCAAATTCCCACAGTATTCCCTAACATCTGTAACCTTTTGATGAATCCTCTCTTTTACATTTTTCAACTGAAAAATTCGAGCTTTCACATTTGCCCTTTGATCTGTCAACTTTGATGGACAGAAAAACGCCCGCTTCGAATGCTTTAATGGATGGGAGATAGATTGTTGAAGCACAGCTCGTTTTTTGGGGGATCACTTACTGGGATGTGGAAAGTTCATGCAACCACAGCAGATCTACTACAAATCCGTTCTAAACACGTCAGTCTGCTCTCAGGACGCAAAGGAACAGTATTAAATAGCGAAAACCCGTATAAACGCAACAATGCACTTTGAAAATTATGCGATTGGTGCTCGTAATAATCCTTTAAGTGGTTAACTTAGCAGAATTAAAATTAAATTATAATTCAAAAACTTTTTCGACTAAAATCGGTGGCGTTGAGTTTGTGCTCTGCAGTGTTTCTTTCATGTGATTACTGTTCGGTTATATCATTTGCTTCGAAGCTCTTTCACATTCTGTCGGACATTGCCTCTTGGTTGCTTTTAAAGAATACTTTAAAGTGATAGACAAAACAACGAGAGAAAGTTGTTACTGTGTCCAAAAAAAAATGGAATTCCACGGGTTGAAAATTAAAGTGATTGTAGTTCTTACGATTTTTCCAACAGTTCAAGGGGTGAGTTCAAATAATTAACATTATTTTTCATTCAAATCTGTCCTGTTATTGAGAATAGCATCGTGTACATCAATAATGAAGTTTCGAAAGAGTATAGTTTTCGAGGACCAAGTCCATAGTTATACTGCACAAATTTTCCATTTTTCATTTCATGAATAAATCATGAGTTGAACTCTCGAAAATTGTTAAAATGATTGAGGAAGAGTTAAATTCATATTCAACTCTGAAAACAAACGGTTTTTTTTTTTTATTTTACCTTTCGTACGTCAGAAACATGTGACACACTTTGCGATTGTGCGAATAGGAACTGTGAGAAAAGAATCAGATTGCTAAACGTCGATAGAGAGATTGCCAATTTACATTAAAACTCCAGCTTGCAGTATACGGTTCTAAGAGATGATGTGTGTTATCACTGCGATCTTAAAAGAAAAGAGAAAAATTCATAATTTAGTTGTTTCTCACTTATATCTCTCGTTTTCCAAAAGAGGTGTGAACACTGCTGTTTATTAAAAAGAAAAAAATGGCTCCTCGGATTTAAATTAGCTGCCGAGTACTGGGTTGGTAAATTTACTAAAAGTTGCCTGTTTGTTTCTATAATGTATATTTTTTCTTATGATGCTCTCATGACATATCTAAGGGTAGAGACGGGCAGTTTTTCACTCATGGTTGGATTACAGAAAATTCATCAAAACATTCACTATTTTTTAGCTAATTTTTGTAAAACACACGAAGAGGCCCGACTGACGGCGTCGAATACTCAGGTATACAGAAAATCGTACATTCTTATCATGCGATACAATTGAGGAGTTTTTCGGAGAAAGGACACATAGCGTAAATGACCACTGGTCCGTTTCCGGCAAAAGGGCACTTTGAGAAAAATTTTAAAAAATTTCGCCCACAAAACTAAAAGAAGTATAAGTTTTACCAATGGTCGTTATTCATTATAAAGTTTATAAACTTTGATCCAAGGGTACAAGTTCCGATGTGAGTCACCATCAGTGGCTAGAAAGTAATAGTAAAAACTTCAAACGTGTCTTTCTCACAACGTTATTTCTCGGATGTAACACTGATCGTGTGCCAGCGTCTAAAGTAGTGGTATTAAAAAAACAAATTTGCCATGTAGGAAATATTTTCAAGCACGTCGAATTTTAAGGCCCAGAAGACTCGCATGAGCGTTTTCCAAATATAAGGGCACTGATAAGTAAAAAAAAAAATAATCCATATCCTTTGTCCTATTCAGCCATTCTGGCAACGACGGGAAAACTTTGCCTATACGCCCGTTTTAAAAGTCGACTTGCAGGAGGCAGACTCGGACACATTAATGGAGTATTTGTACGCAATTCGAAGGGGAGATCCGTGTAAGAAATTGGGACTCTGCGCCAATTGTGATGACCCCAGAACACAGGCTGAAATCAACGCTGACGCAGCCTGCAAGTACGCATTAGACATTTGGGACAGACTCTCCACATCGAGGGTGAGTATGTTTGTAATCTTAAAACGTAACCATTCCCGGAATAAAGGCCTCAAAGCAAGAATCACCGACTTTGAGAATTTTCGCGACTGCCTAGAAAAGCTTTTGATGAGCATTTTCGCACAGACAAGTATAACACCAACAAACATCAAACCAAACCTAAGTCATGACCGTTTGGACTAGACTGGAAAAAAGAAAAGGAACAAGCGCATCAATTTCCAATTTCATGTCCACTTTAACTTTTTAAATTCGGAAAAATCAAGAAACAATTATTTCTTCCCGCTTCAGCAACAGTTTGCAACGTGCCTTAAATAAGTTTTGGGCAATCTCGCTGATTTTTGAAGAGAAAATGTGTGTTTTTTTTTTTTTCAACAGACGGTACGATGTCTAAACGCCGAGGTCGCAAAATGTCGAAAGGCGACGGAGAAATCCAGAAGATGCTATCCGCACAAGTGGCATCTGGAGTGTTCATTCCGTTGCACAAGAGAAAATCAATCGACTTTCAAATTCCTGTCGGAGTTGGTCGACCTACCAGAAGATTAAACTTCCAACTGCTGTAAAACTGTACAAGATTGAAGATCTCCTTAATATTTGAATAGACTGCGGGATTGAGAGATTTAACCGGAGACATGTGAAGATATCAATTTATAGCCGTGAAATAATATCACTTTAATGATGTCTTGCATCAAAGATTGTATCCACTCTGCAGCGAAAGAAGCCCTAGGTGTTCACAAAACCAGTAATAAATACCAGCATCCTTACTGGTGGGATGAAGAAATTGAAGACGAGATAAATCTTAAGAGGCAAAAACACCTTATATTTCTGTCGTCTAAAAAGACTGAAGATAAAGTTGCTTACAGGAAAGCTCAGTCTAAAGTTAGGAGCCTCATAACACGGAAGAAGAATGAAGCTTGGGAAAGCAACTGTTCTAGAATTAACACCTACCTAGGGGGGAGAAAAAGTGCTGAGAGCTGGAAGTTAATTAAAGGTTTACGTAGAGACATGAAGCGCGACATCGTTTCTCCGATATCACTTAAAAAACTGGAGGATCATTTTAAAGATCTTTTGACGGAAAGGCGCCCAGAGTTTCGCGACAACAGCACGGACAACGGAAGAATGAACAACTTGGAGATCCACACTTGTGACATAATTAAAGCGGTTAAAGAGCTAATTAATGACAAAGCGCCGGGTCCTGGCGGGATTCCTGTTGAGTTGGTCAAGTACGGGACTGCCAAGCTCTTTGAGTGCCTCAGGAAACTGATGCAGCAATGCATCAGGGGTGACGAGGTACCAAGGGAGTGGAAGGAGTCTTGGATCAAGGCCATCTACAAAAAGAAGGGAAGGAAGGACGACTGTAACAACTACCGGGGGCTCTCAGTGACCGGGACAATAAGCAAAGTGTACGGGAAGATACTGAAAGCGAAGATCGAGGACGAATGGCAGGATCACGAAGCAGAGGAGCAGGCTGGTTTTAGAGCTGGCAGGTCTACGATAGATCACCTCTTTGTTATTGTCCAGGTCATTGAGAAGAAAATGGCCGTAGCTCAGGAACTGCATTTAATTTTTGTGGATCTCCAGAAGGCGTATGACAGCGTGCCGTTGGTGAAACTTTGGGAGGCCTTGGAAAAATCGAATTTTAACGGGGGGTTGATTGACGCTGTTAAGCGATTTTATAAAGGGAGTTTTACCAAAGTTAAGTGCCATGGGGGTTGTCAGCGGGATTTTATGTGACTAAGGGTTTAAAACAGGGATGTTGTTTGTCGCCAACATTATTTAAAATTTATCTCGAGTGCGTGCTAAAAGAATGGAAAAAGAAATGCTCTGGTATGGGTGTCCCCTTGGGTGATCTCGAAACTCTGTTTACTCTGTGCTTTGCTGATGACCAGGTGGTGGTTGCTCAAGATCAAGATGACGCGGAATACATGATGCGCAAGCTAGTAGAAGAGTATCGGAAGTGGGGTCTGGAAGTCAGCATATCCAAATCTGAGAAGATGACTTTTGGCGGTGATCAGCAAAGCATTGAGTTGGAGGATGGGCAGCAGATCAAAGGCTGCGAGCACTTTAAGTACTTGGGAGTGCGGTTGACCCAGGATGGAAGGACGGATCAAGCTATCAGGGAAAGGAACACCTTAGCAAGGAAGGCTATAGCGATGTTAAATGGAATCCTCTGGGATCAGCGGATTTCCAAAGATAACAAGAGGAGGATATACAACGCTGTAGTCAAAAGTATATTAACATACGGATGTGAAGTTTGGCAGCTGAAGAAACGGACACAGGATATGCTAAGAGCAACGGAGATGGATTTCTGGAGAAGGTCAGCAGGAATTTCTAGGAGAGATCGGGTCCGTAATGATAGAGTGCGTCAGATAATGGAAGTCGAAAATGACATCGTGTTCGACGTCATGACCAAACAACTTGTTTGGTATGGTCATGTCAATAGGATGACGGAAGAGAGGCTGCCAAAAAAGATGCTTGATTGGGTTCCTCCTGGGAGGAGACGTAGGGGACGCCCAGTGAGAGGTTGGCGACAGGGGGTGTTAAATGAGATAAGAGATTGTCAACTCCCTGATGACCTGTGGGAAGACCGAGCTTTGTGGCGATTAGGCGTCGCACAGCGCCAAAGAGCGCTATAAAAGCGACTCATATATATATATGATGTCTTGCATACTCCATTTCTAGAATGAGTTCATGTGTGACTCTACACGAGAAAGGCAGATGTTACAATGAGAAATGACTCAAAATTTAGAGATTGGTACCACTTGTTTACACTTTGGGGAAATAGGTTATTGCTAGCCCCCAGAAGTGGCGTAGCTAGAAATGACAGAACAAAATTGGGAGTCTACGGTGAAACCTTTCCCAAGTAGGGGTGTATATAGGTAAAATAATTACCAAAAGTCACGAAAAATGACGGGTTTTTTTCAATACTTCGTGTTACCCTTGCTGGGCATGCCACCACTGGTACCTGGGTAGCCCAACACGAAAACAACCCTCTATGGATTTTGGGTAGGTCAGTACCAGCTCTAGCCCGGATTCGGAATAGAGTCTACTCCTGCGGCTCTAGGGCTGGTACCTACCCATAAATATAGGTCATGCTCTATTTAAAACCCAGCCCTAGAGACTTTATTCCCGCGTAGTTACTGTTGTGCAAAAAAGAAAAAGGCAAAAAAATTGGATTTCATTCTAGTTGGTGCTGTAAACCGTCTAGCACCATTATATCTACCACAGTTTAGTCGGTGTGCAACTTCAAATGGTTAGCTGGGTGAAAATCAGGCATACTCTTGATATACAGAACACCATTTTTTTTAGTGTACGAACTTCATGACACAAAACAAGTCAAAACAAACCACAACCACCAACGGTTTATAGTTTCCAGATCAAAAATTTAATTTTCAGAAAAATATTTAAAAATTAAGCTAGAAGTTGAACAAGAAAAAAGTGGGGAAAATTCGAGCGTCACTTCATATTCCTATTAGCACAGATAATGCTCCTAAAGTAAAACAGCCCACAACTTAATTTTTTTAAATATAATAGGAATTATTTTCCATCGGAAACTCGAAGTCCGATGTTTTCATTCAACTCGGCATAATTCACTCTCACGATAAATTTGTCCCCAGGTACTGATGTTTGTTATCCTCTTCTTCTTCGTCTTTTTTTTTTTGGTTATACAAGTACCAATTTTATTACTTTGTGATCCGTGTATTATAATGTATGTTTAAAAACTAAGCATTCTCGTATTGTTTTGTATTTCCCTATTCAAGCCATATGGTAAATATAAGTTTTTCGTTTCATTTGTGTGATGCTATTACACCCTAAAAATCATAAATGACTACATTTAAAAAAACCTTCTCCCACAAAAGAGTAGCTAGGGGAACCTTTATTCTGGAAAATGTATAAGTGTAAGAAAAAAATGACATCCGATGCTTTTAAAGCCATACTTTGTACCGAACCATCTACAGTACATACAACTATTGAACATGAGGAAAATTGTTTTCTTTCAGTCCACTTCGAACTGTCCTGCTTTGGCACAAATGTACTTAGGCTCAACTTTAGCTGAGGAAAAACTTATGAAAATTTTCAAATTAAGCCGATATATCCACACTCAGTGTCGCAGTCGGAAATTTCCATGGAGGGAGATCCGAAAAATTCATTAAAATCATGACAAAATGACGTTGGCGGGGGGGGGGGTTCAGATTGAGGAAGGGTGTCCCGGCTGAACCATTGGCCACCCTGCGTGTCGTTCTTTGATTACAATGAGAAACTTGCTAACAGTCACTACTAGTCTCTCTAGACGTTATTGCCGGTGACGTTATTTTATGCAAGTGAACAGGGATCATGATCATGAGCTCACTTGCAAAGACAAGTTTTGAATTTCGGAGCTGATTCTAAATTGCGAAGTCGGACGCTTGCATGTCTGACAGAACTCCGCACATGTTTGCATATTTGGGTTGCGAAAACTGACATCATAGAACAGCTCCTCTCACGTAAAAAAGGATAAAAATGGTAGGCCATGGTACGTTTCTGGATGACGATAAAAGGAGGAAAGTCCAACAAAAAACGATACATTTCAACCGGGACGTGCGTGCAATATTATACTTCGGAGCTCGGTAAAATTTGATTTGCGTTCATGTATGACGGCAAACATGCTGGAAAAAAATGCTTTTAAGCTGCCGCAAAGAACATCCCAAAAGTCTGGTACATTACCTCGATGCTGTGCATTCCAAGTTTTCTTGATTTTACTATTAGTGGATCGTCGGGACTGATTTTTTTTTTGCAATTCTTTTGAAAAAATAAAAAATGAAGTAACACGCTAAAGTGAGATCGGAGCAGGAAAGAAAAATGCATTTTCAACGGTGCTTTCGGAGAAGTAAAAAAAAGCCTTACCTAGAGCCAACTCTCTACAGAACCAGGGCTGGTTTTGAAAAAAATTTGTTTTCATAGAAGCATAATTCAAAAATTGTATTGTTGCCTAAAAAATACGCTTGAAACATATGTGCGTCGTATGATCACGAACAATTTCAGTTTGTCGAAGTATGTTTCGTAAGCATTTCTGAAATTGGACAAAAGGTTTTTCAGACAGTAAAATCTAGTTACTACCAAATTTCACTTCATCTACGTCAACGCAGTCAGAATTGTCGTGAAATGAGGGGTTTAATGATTGCTCGTACATGCTCGAAGAATGCCGTATGAACATTCGAGAGTTGCCAAATTTCACCGGATAAAACATGTATTTTTGAAGAGAGCCTTGTTCAGTTTCCCTTGACATTTTCAAGTACATCAGATTTAATTACCAACAAAATTGCCTGAAAAATTATTCATAATTTCCCGAGTAAATTTGTTTTTTATTGAAGGAGATATGACAACTTCTGGAGGCTCATACGGTGTTCTTCCTCAGCACGGTAGCATGTGCAATGTGCATTCGTGTTGATGGAACCATCGGGAGGTATGAATTCTTGATTTTTCGCTGAAACATCCATTTAAAAAGACCACTTACGTGCGTGATCAAAGTGGCTAGCTTGAGGTAGTTTGTGCATTAGCCTTAAATTTTCCAAGTAATATAGTTGGCCAAAATTTCTAAATTTTTCTGGTTATCTTAAAATGTATTTTGTGAGGTTATGCTTTACTTTGGAGAATCTCGGCTGAGGAGCAGAGTCGGTGTGGGCAAAGAAATATTTTTGGGCCGAAACG